TGTCAGCAAAAGGACAACCTAAGGAGAAACAGCCCCCATTGTTGAACTGTCTGCTGTCACGTATTCTGCATCTCTGCTTTATTTCTGAATGGCATTTCCTGCTAGATGGACCCTTTTAATGACCTGGGAATGGTCAAGCTTCATCTGCACATCAAGGAGGTTCCTTGACACCAAGCTTTCACACTTGCTCAGACGCCCTACTTTGAGTTAGATCTTAACTTACAATATTGCCCAACCCTCTAGGTTGCCACCCCTCACTACACGCAACCAATAGGAGTAGTCTTGGGACGGACTAACAGGTAGGTGGGTCCACAGGTTGGCATAGTTGCCACCCACCCAAAGATCCGCCTATAAAAGACAAGGACCAGTCGCTGGACCCTTGCTAGCCGCATCCCCTCAACACCCCCTGTCTGCTTTCATTCCCCTTTTGTCCAGCTTCCTATACCCAAACCCTTGTCTCCGCTTGATCTCTTGGTCTGTAGCCAAGAGACCCGCACAAGCTGGCCAGTTCTAGCTGTGTGTTAAATTCCCCTAGAATTCTTTTCTCCCCATCCATTCTTCATTGGAACTGACAAGCTTCAGGACAGATAAGTATTGCTCTCCATCACCCCACCTGCTAACGCAAAAGTGATTCTTTGTAACTCTGTATCTCTAAGGAACTTGATCGAATGTGTGTGAGCATCAGTATTGTTTGTATGTGATTTATATATTCTTAAGTGAAAGACAGGTATTTTGAACAACACCAGCCTCAACTCCTTCTACTGGTAACCCCTGGGTGGGATTTGGACCTAGGTGTAACTGGCAAGCACCCAGATTAAAATTTGCCAACTGCTGTAGATAAAGCAGTTTGGCTAACAATACAGACCCTTGCCCCATCAGGGCAAGTAGTAACTCTAGTGGCCATTTCAAGTTATTTATTTATTTATTATTTATTTATTAATTCGACTTGATATACCGCCCTAACCCCTGTAGGGGTCTCTGGGCGGTTTTACATGAGGGGTGCTAGTCACAATTAACTCTAACTAAGGCCACATTATATTATGGGAAGTGGGACAGCCTACCAGCACCCAAGTGGAGATAGATGTCTTTTATTTCGGTCTGGCTGGCTTCATTCCTGGAGGTATCTGGCTGTTGTTCTTCTGGCGCAGTCTTTGCGATCCAGCGCGCAGTCGACGTCCTCCTTAGGTCCTGGCTATGTCCCTTCGGCTCCGCTGCGCCCCTGGATGACGTCACCACGCGCCTCCCGCTGTACGACAGCTGCTTGCTGTTCCCGCCGCTGGCCACCAGGGATCTCTCCTTCCAGGCCTGCTGCTCGCCACTTGCTGCCGCCACGTCACCGTGCTGCTTCGCTTGTGAAAACGATTTGAAGGAGAAGGCTTACATACCCTTCTTTCCCAGCCGTGACCCCAGTCAGAATCAGGATACTGCATACTAGCTATTTAAAAGGTGGAAAAAAGGTGGAAAAATGATTTGGAGCTCATATTTGAAAGCCAGTGTAGTGTAATGGTTAGAGTGTAATACTAGGGTCTGGGAGATCCAGGTTTGGATCCCTGCTCCATCATGGGAGCTGCCTGGGTGATCTTGGGCTAGTCATACACTCTCAGCCTAACCTGCATCACAGGGTCATCCTATGTATATATAAGCCCTAACATATTGGCACTTTCCAGTTCTCCCATTGACTATGCTGTGTGCATCATCAGCCATTGGCCCGTCAACCACCACTCAAGAATACTCGCATGCCATTGGCTGGGTCCTGGGTCTGCTCCTCTCCCCCACCCACTGCTGGCTTGGCCACTCTTCTCTGTCTGAATAAACTGCCAAAACAGCTATCTCTCCTGATGAAGACGCTTGGCTTTCTCTCCTGCTTAGCTCCTCCATGGCTGGCTGGCTACTGAGGTAAGCCACCGGCTGTCAAACCATTCTCTTCTCTTCCTGCTGTGGGGCTTACTTTCCCCACAATGGCTGTTGCTAGTCAACCAAGCTTGGTTCTGTCAGTAAAAAGGCAAGGGGCAGGAGGCTCTTTCCAGCTCTACTTTGGCCTTTGTGGGGAACTCATTGCGGCCAGTCCTGATTAAGGTTGCCAGCTCCAGGTTGGGAAATTCCTGGAGATTTTGTGGTGGAGTCTATGGAAGCCAGAGTTTGGGGAGGGGAGAGGCCTCAGCTGAACAGAATGCCATAGAGTCCACCCTCCAAAGCAGTTATTTTCTCCAGGGAGAGGGAGATCTTTTGTCTGGAGATTTGAGAGGTGGAGCCTGGAGAGGGTGGGGTTTGAGGAGGGGTAGGACCTCAGACAGGCACAATACCATAGATTCCAGCCTCCAAACCAGTCATTTCCTCCTGTGGAACCATTCTTGCCAATCTCCAGGTGAAGGCTGGAGATCACTCAGAATTACAACTGCTCTTCAGATGGCAGAGATCTATTTCCCTGGAGAAAATGATAGACTCTGTGTCATTATACCCTGCTGAGGTCACCACAGCAAATTGATGCTGAGTCCCCAAGGCCGGGGCACCCGCCCAGAGCCTCTTTCTAGAGCTCATTGTATTTATTTCCACAGTGGGTGTTATTCCTAGTTATGAGGATAAAATGGAGGAGAAGAGATTGCTGTAAACCATTTTGGATCCCACTGGGGAGAAAGGATGGGTTTAAATGAAGTAAGTAAGTAAATAAGCTCTGCTTGGTCAGTATAAAGAACATAAGAGAAGCCAATGTTGGATCAGGCAAATGACCCATCTAGTCCAACACTGTCACACAGTAGCCAAAAATACCAGGTGCCGTCAGGAGGTCCACTAGTGGGTCCAGGACATGATGTTCCTTGTATTAATATAACTATAAAATGTCCAGAGTTCCAAGATATATAGACATATAGATTTATATAGATATATAACTATCTTAAATGATTACACACTTTCTTACAACAAATCAGCAATTCAGTCCTGTGCAAAATTATTCAAAAGTCCAGTGATACTAATACACATAGGATTCAGGTGTATAATGATTTCCATTAATTGATTTTTACCATTTTATTAAAGGAATTTATCATGCTAGAAATGCTGACTCTGTTATCTCCATACATAGTTTGTTAATTTTTACATCAGAGTCATCTACTGAAATTTATTTAGCAAAATTCTTCAGCTAGGATTTTTTTGTGTCCAGTACTTTGCATGTAATAATCTAACAGTCTGTATCATATTAAATGTAACCTCTGATTTTTTAAATTTAGGCATTTGGGTTTTTAAAAAATTAATTTTGTTTGAAAAACTAAACAAATAGCTGATATATACATACAGAATTACATAAGGCACATCGCTAGTCTAAACCCCCTTACATCTTGCCTCCATGGGTATAAAAAAACTCTTTACCAGCAACTGACAATTTTAATACTATTTCCAATTATACATTTGCAAGTTCCATTCTTTGTAGCGCTCTTGACCTTAGAAGGTCTACTGTATGTGTCTCTCTATTTTTCTGATAAGTGGTTAATGTCACTAGAGTGTACATCTCCTTTATTTTCAATAACCAGTCTTGTCGATTAGGGATTTTGTTTGTTTGTTTCCATTGCCTGACAAAAACCGGCCTGGCACCAGTAATCATATGTAAAGCAACTTTTTGCTAATCTCCAGGGATATCAGGTAGATAATTCAGCAACAGTGCCTCTGGTTTGTAGGAGATTTGTTTTTCCAACCCGATTGATATAATTTTCACCACTTATTTCCAATAGCTGGAGACACATATGTATGTCCACTACATGTGAAAGAAGTCTGCCTTATCTTCTTTACAGAGCCAGCATATGCTGGTACCAGTTTTATAGAGAGACAGTTTAGTGTAGTGGTTAAGTGTGCAGACTCTAATCTGGGAGAACCAGGTTTGATTCCCCACTCCTCCACTTGCACCTGGCTGGATGACCTTGGGTAAGATGTAGTTCTGATAAGAGCCGTTCTTTAAAAAGAGCAGTTTCTGTCAGAGCTCTCTCAGCCCCACCTACCTCACAGGATGTCTGTTGTGGGGAGGGGAAGGGAAAGGAGTTTGTAAACTGCTCTGAGACACCTCTGGGTAGTGAAGGGTGGGGTATAAATCCAATCTCCTCTTCTCCTCCTCCTACATCTTTGCCAGCCTTAAAGGAATTGAATGCCACATGTAAATCATTTTCAACAGGTTTTCTCTAAAGGAGAGGCAAACTGTAAAGGTGAAGATAAATTTCCATTTTGAAGCATCTTAAGTTGTTGCGTAATTTTTTTACCACCAAATGTGGAAGTTTTGATCAGGTTTGAGTGTTGTTTTCAATAGAGGCATTTGTTTTTTGTACAGTAGATTGAATCCAGAGGCCTGTGAGCAGAGTTTGTGAGACAGATGTTACCTTTTTCTGCTGTAGCCCACTGCCTTCACAAATGCAGCTCCTGGAGCTTGGGGGACCCCATGAATAGCATGGGATGTGTGGTTTGTTTTTTAAAATTAATTTTATTAAAAGATAAGTTTTTGAGAGGTCTGTAGTTGAACAGGCAGCCACGAATATTGCCCTCCCCCCCACCGAGGAAGTGTTCTTCGAAAAATTAAAATCATTTTTTCCTATATGATAAATATTTTAAATCCAGAAAATTATTTTTTTCCCTCAGCAAATGTGGTTTCATTTTTTTTGGAAGTTTCAGATAAGTAATGTGATATGAAGTTTAAATGTGCATCAATATTCATTCCACCAGTGTTATTTTAGATCATGTCTAGGGTGAATTTCGTACGAAGCACTGGAGATCAATCAATAAGGATACTGGAAGCAATGAAGTCATCCCGTTGCCAAATGTATCCACATTTCAAGAAGATTTAAGAACTCCAAGAATTTATTTTGTTTACAGAACAGTTAAAAATCTGCAAGGGTAATAATTTACAAGCTGCCATGCTTTATAGTTTCTAGACAGAGTTAATTGATTACACAGGAAGGTTGTACATGTACAGGTATATCAGATATCTGACCGTCTATAAACCAAGACCTGTTTCTACTCTCTTGTAGGTATTTGGTGCTAGAACATGTGTCCGGTGGAGAACTTTTTGACTATCTTGTAAAGAAGGGAAGATTAACACCAAAAGAAGCTAGGAAGTTTTTCCGACAAATCATCTCCGCGTTAGATTTCTGTCATAGTCATTCAATATGGTAAGTACAGAAATGTAACAGCATCTAAGTGATGATGTTGGCTGGGTGATATCTGAGAGCTAGTGTGGAGTAGGATAGGAAAGCGGAGACCTAGTTCCAAACATCTAATCTGTCATTAGACAGACACCGGGGGGATGTCTGTGTCATGGACCAGCCGTCCCTTCAGCATAACCTAACCAAGCTTAGGTTTGTTGTGAAGATAAAGTAGAAGAGGTGAGAGACATGACAAACTTCCCTGAACTTTCTGGAGGAGCAGAAGGATGAAAATAAAAGAGAGAGAGAAACTTGGGGGCTCGCGACCCTAACTTGCACCCCTGTTTGTTTATTGTGGAAGTGGTCCTCTGCTGCAGACCGGGTTAATGTAAAGCTAGACACTTTTCAACTCATTAAAATACTTTGGACTTGCTGTAGTGTTTCCATTGCCAGAAGAACATGCTCCACAGCACAGCACCACCCCCACAATGGTAAAGGTGCTGCCCAGGAGAAAACAAGGATTAGGACTCGAGTCACATATATTCATAGCAGGTGATTACATAGCAGAACAGTTTTAAGGTTCTTGTTAGCCTTGGGCCTTTTACAGGCCATTCATTAGTCAATGTTAATAATTTGGTTTCACAATCCTTTGTATTATGTGTATGCAGCTGCTGCCAGCAGAGTATCAGACTAGGACCAGAAAGACCTAGTCTCAAATCTCCTCTCAGCCATAAAGCTCACTTGGTGATCTTGGGCCAGTCAATTTCCCTCACTCTAACCTACCACTCAGGGTTACTGTGGTGATAAAAGCAGGGCTCTTTTTGTAGAAAAAGCCCAGCAGGAACTCATTAGCATAATAGGCCACACCCAACAGCAGGAACTCATTAGCATATTGGGCCACACCCCTGACAGCACAGCTCATTAGCACATTAGGCCACACCCCCATGTTACCAGAAGTGTGGTCATCCAGCCACAACCACCTTTTGCTTGTTATTCTGTTTACCTTGTTTGTTGTCAAAACCCAGGGCTTTTTTGGAGCAGGAACTCCTTTGCATGTTAGGCCACACACCCCTAATGTAGCCAATCCTAATGAGTTCCTGCTGTTGGGTGTGGCCTATTATGCTAATGAGTTCCTGCTGGGCGTGGCCAACTCGGGAGCCAGCCGGAACTCCGTTCCTGTGCGTTCCTGCCCAAAAATAGCCCTGGTAAAAGGGATGGAGACCCAGAAAGGTGAAGGCCCAGAAAACATAAGGGGAGAATGGGGGGGGGGAGGTCTGCAGACTTTCTTCATTTTTCCAGGTTTGGAGGAGCCCTTGGGGGAGGGGGGGAATCTCCTGTGAAATACCTTCTCCTTAGGAATAAGTGAAATGTTTTATAAGACAAGGTTTGTATAGTGTGAGTATTTTTATGCAAAATATTCTGCAACATTAGATAATTCCTATGTATGACACACATACAACATATTTCAAGAGGTATTGATTGTTTAAATGTGACTAATTTTGTCCATACTTAATAGACAACAATGCCTGGTGTGCCCCTATTGAAAAGTGTGCCAGTGTTAAAAAGCTTAACTTGTTATTTATTTATTTATTTATTTTTCACATGTATATCCTGCCCATCCCATAAACGAGCTCAGGGCAGGTTATAACATTTCCATAAATACAATAAAATTTTAAAACACATTATAGGCATATAAAATCAATAATCATAGCTTGCCATAAGGAGAGTCTGGCGCATTGATGTAGGTAGGTGTGGCCGGTTATCAGTGGGTGGGACACAGCAACCTTGGGAGGCCATGTGTGGATGCCCACTGCCTCAGCCAGAAGCCTGGTGGAACAGCTCCGTCTTGCAAGCCCAGAGCTTAACTTGATTTCCAGATATGGTGCTACTGTGTGAGATCGGTTCTGTCTAAATAATACAATTTCTTTCATTCAATAAAGCATTTGCCTTTTTGTTAGCAATTTTTATTTTTTCCTACTTCTCAGATGGCAAAAAATAAGATGCACGTGCTGAGGCAGCATAAGATGCAGCAGTTTGCAGCTCTCTGTCTCTCTCTCCTCGTCGTTCTTTTTAGTATCTCTCCTTATATATAATTGTGTTTTCGGGTGGCACTTTGCTGAACATTCCATGTGCTCCCAAATCAGTTGGCTCCCTGATCTGTCACTCAGAAGGACTCCCTATACACTGGCTGTGTTGTCTGAGTCCCACCCCCAACATTCTAAACAGTTTACTGTTGCTGTTGGGAGTCACTGAATGTGTCCTGAGGTAAAGTACATATCCCAATCTTCCCTTAAATAGTCACTGGAGTTGCCAATCTCCATGTGGGGCCTGGAGATCTCCCAGAAATCACCGTGTTCCCCAGCCATAGCACATCATTTCCCCTACAGAAAATTTCCCAGCTATTATAACTGATCTCCAGATGACCAAGATCAGTTCTTCTGGAGACAATGGCTACTTTGGGCAGTGGACTCTATGGCATTATACCCTGCTGAAGTCCCTCCGCACCCCAAACCCTGCCCTCCCCAGGCTCTACCCCTCAAATCTACAGGTATTTCCCACCCAGAGTTGGCAAGTAATTGGCTATGGAACCACTTTCCAGACTCTTGGAACCCAGAAGACATGGCATAGGAGGAGGTGCTTTTCTACCTTAGCTGCCGCTGCCTAACCCTCCCCTCCAAAAATAAGTCAGGGGTGGAGGGAACCATACCTGTTAGCATGAGGCGGTCCTCCCATACTACCCACTTGGGGCAGCAAAATCACTTGAGACAGCCCTGCCTTTTAGCTAAGCAGAAGGAAAGAAACATGGCTTGCCTCCCTCTATTTTCCCCTTCCCTCTGCCACCTCACCAACCACAGCAGGGACACTCACCTGGAGCTTCCTTCTTGAGCTCGTTGTATTTTGTCCCACAACAGGCCTTACTCCTAGTTAAGTATATTGACAATTTTGCTTGTTGAAAACTAAGGTATGCGATACTTTAAAAATGGTTAACTATGCCAAGTGTATATGCTAAGTTATAAATGATGTGGTTTGTGTTGTTAAAGCAGTAAAATAAGTTTAGGTTGGAAAAGAAAGCAAATATTTCCTAAAACTCTGGGTTTCTTTCGAAAAAGACAAAACATAAAGCCCCTCCCACTTGATTTTAGAAATTTTAGAACTCTAAGGAACCACATGCACAATCATTGGAGTAAGGGTAGGATAAAAAATATAATGTGTTACCACTTTTCTATGCTAGTTACACCCATGTTCATGCTGAAGACTGTCCATGGGCTTTCTCTGACTTTGTTAAGTAAAATGTAGCATGTTGAGCAGTTTATATGTGATTCCCATTGTACACAAAACCTCTCCCCCCTCCATTAGATTAAGATACTGTCACATTCATTTACAACAAACTCTTTGAACTAGGAAAATCAAAGCCCAGTGGGGTTAGCGGCTTAATTTATAAAGGTCTTGAGGGCACTTGCCAATAAATAAGAATAATATGTGTCATATTGTGCCTAGTCCCTGAAGAAGCCTAGGACAATTAACAATTCAACAAACTCATTTTATGGCATCCTTGGGTTATAGAAAACCTTCTGGTGCTGGCAGCCTTACCTAGACCCCTTCTGGGCTTTTGAATCGTTGTTGCCTTTAATTTCCTTTCCAGTAGGAGTAATTTTCTTTATCAGTCTGTTATTGATACTTATTAACTCACTTGGATGATTTAACTCTTGAGTGTGGTTTAACCTGTAGCTTTCAGGCCATGTTTTTCAATCGAGCCAGTTTCCATTTACTGCTTTAACAAGTTTGAGTAATTTTTAAATTACATTGAAATTGAGTTTTTGCCACCAATTGTAATTCAAGGTTTCTGTACATCTACTGACCCATAGCCACATACTTATTTCTCAGACATGCTATTTCCTAAACTTTGATTGGCTGAGAGCTGTGATTTGCATAATGGCTATACTGGCATTTCTAAGTACAGACTGCAGTAAGTAACTTTCAATCTGGTAAGCTAAGATTCCACTAGAATGTGCAATGCCTAACCAGTGTGTTGCTACTTCTTAATAAATACTCAGTGATTAGAGACTCTTTTTGCTTGATTGACTGCAGCTCTGCTATACCCGTAAAAAGGGGAGGAGCCTAATTATTTCACACAGATTCCTATATGGATGTATTGTACCTTTCTTTTGATAGGGAAGGAAGAGAAACTGCAGGGAAGATATAGAGCTTTCCTAATACTCAGTGATTAGAGACTCTTCTTGCTTCATTGACTGAAGCTCTGCTATACCCGTAAAAAGGGGAGGAGCCTAATTATTTCACACAGATTCCTATATGGATGTATTGTACCTTTCTTTTGATAGGGAAGGAAGAGAAACCACAGGGAAGATATAGAGCTTTTCTACAGATCACTACTGAGTTGAATTTGATGTGCTATGTTGCCATATGCACATTAGGTGAGGACTGCCCCCAAGAAAAGTACATAAAGATTTCAGTATTAGCATATAGCTGAGCTATAGGCACTGGGGGGGGGGATCTGGACATTTCTGTAAATAATTATAGAAATCCTGTTTGCAGAGATCACACTACATAACTGGAGAAGGCAAAGGCATTTGCACGGAAACTTTAAGTTGTACAAAATGAATGACGGGAAAACACCAACCTCATATGCTGCCATTATGGTTTCCTTTTCTGGACTGCTCTATTCCCTCTAGCCAGGTTAGCCTGATTTCTACCAGATTAGCATTTTGGGGCAGAGTAGCATGCCACGCTTGCATAAATCTGCAGCATGGATAGCTGAGATGTGAGATGTAGTGGGGAGGGAGTGAAAAATCATCATCAAATCATGCACAAAGAAAGCGTGGGAAGCCAGCTATTTTCTGATATAGACTCTGACCTTGACGTTTTCGCTTTTTTTTTTCTTCCCAATATGATACCAATTAAAAGGGTGCTGGAATGACAATCTAAAAACATGGCATTCATTGTAAACCCAGCGCCATGTATGTTTTGAATTCCACAAAGCTAGAAGCGTAGATAAACTCACAGAAAAG